AAACAAGAAAACCAACTCACTGTTTTACGAGGCGGCCAAACTTCTAGTTTTCACCGTCGTGACTTCAGGTCGACGCTGTGGCATTATGCTAATTAGTTCCAAGAATTGAACATTTCACTTCTGGTTGACGTCCTCCTCGGCCGCGTCCAGAGTATCTTAACCCATTCGCCCCTGAACCGCCCGTAACCGCCCGTGCGGATCCAGGTACTTTCTATCCTTTGTGACGTCATCAGTTTTAACGGTCAAGGACAACTTTCTTCGCTAACTTGTGCAGAGTGAAGAAATCTTTCAAATCATACCAGAATGAGCACAATTCAGTCAAGGACACCGGAGAAACAAGCAAAAACCCACGTGACATTGACCTGAAAATCTCCATGAAAATCTTGCTCCATTACCCACCTACCTTTCCTTTCACCTAATCCTAAGATCCTAAAAGCTTTCGTAAAAACTCTTGCCACCAAAATGAAGCCTACTAAATGCCCAGCAAGAGAAAAAAAAATGAGGCAAGAAAAGCGAAAAAAGAAGGGAGGAGAGAAAGCGAAAAGTAAAAGTCAAGACTGCTGTGTCACTTTTAAACCCAAAAACTCTCGAAATTTTGCTTTCTGCGCATGCCCGAACTTCGCAAGCTGATATTTTGCATCTGGATCAGAAGGCCGCAAAGTGTACGACCTGTAAACCGGTTTGTGGTAAGCTTTAGCTCTTTATAGCACGACAAAGACCAGAAAACCACTCGACTAGCTTCAAAACGCGTTTTTCGGCAAAATCTCCAGGAGCGAATGGGTTAAGGTCCCTAATAAATTGATCTTATCCCACATCTTTTTTGTGTTATCTCATTTGTTTAATATGTCATTATAAAAGCAGTCACAATATATCTTATTAATGATAGCGCGATATAGTTTATATTTGTTTAGGAAAACATAATTTCGAGTAATAAGCCATTTCTTGTATAATTTATCTCTAACTTTCATAGATTTCTTTAAACCGGAAGTAATCCACGGTTTATATGCTTTGTGTTTAATCTTGGCTTTTTTAAGTGGTGCATGTATATTTCTTACTTTATTGAAAATATGGAGGAACCTGGTATAACTTTCGTTTACTTCATTGCATTTGTAAATAGAATCCCATCTTCGAATCATCTTCGAAACTCCAAAAGTCTCTGAAGACTGGTAGATGATCCGCAATCTCAACTGCGAGGCTGCCACTTGAGCAGGAAGTCGAAATATTTGTAAAGATATGATCAATGCAGCTTTGTGAATTTTCAGTAATACGTGTTGCTTCAAAAATCAGCTGACTGAATCCTTCTGATTGCATTAAATTAATATATTCCTTAGAGACACTTGTTTTTGTAAGAGTATTTATATTAGTATCACCCATTAAAATGCATTTTTTCTTAGAGAGAAAAACATTGTGTAGAGTTCTTTCGAGTTTGTCTAAAAATTCTGAGTTTGAAAAATTTGGGGTTTATAAATGTTACCCACAATCATATCATTAGTTTCTATCCATAGGTTTTCAATTGAGTCTATGTTGAGGTCATTTCTAATTGAGAAAGAATAGCCTGATCTGACAGACAAAGCAACACCGCCACCTGTCGAAAAGGTGCGATTTTCATTGAGTAAGGTGTAACCTGGGATTTGGAAACGTGTATAATCAGTTTCAGAGGTGAACCATGTCTCGGAGCAACCGATAAAATCAAACTTACACGAAATCGAATCCAGGAGATTGCACATTTGTTCGAAATGTTGTTTTAAACTTCTTGTATTTAAGTGAATAACAGAGTATTGAGGTTTGACAGTATGAGACAACTCGTTAATTTCTTCAACTGTGTAAATCCCATGATCATTTAGCAATTGTAAATTTAAATGAGGGTCATTTGCATAAAGTTTTAGCTTGACGAAATTTAAAAGTAAACAATTTAAGATAAATGATAATTATAAAGCTATGTAGACATTTAAGATGGGACTTACACATACACAAAAGTGTATACTGGTCAAACATCTCAAGCCTGATGTAGCTCACCGTCGATATAAAGCTTGCCATGATGAAATCTAGGTCTTTTCCCAGCTTCAAATGCTTTTTTCATAACAGATCTCAATTGTTTCTTCTTTTGACAGTCTTCCCATATCAAATCATCCGAAACGCACACACCATCATGTAGATCCCTCTTCTTTTTAATAACTCTAAACCGTTCCGGACTATACAAAAACTTAGCCAAAATTGGTCTGGGAGTGCCATCATCCTTGAAGGGCCCGATCCTGTGGGCGTTCTCGATGTTTGATTGCAATTGGAGATTGATATGATATCACGGAGCTTTGTAATACAATTTTCGCCTGTTGATTCTGGGTTGTTGTAAAATCTCAGATTGTAGTCCCTAGAATATCTCTCCAGGGACAACAATCTCTCGTAGGTGTTATCGATCTCTTTTGCATACTTGGTGATATGGTACTCGATTTGGTCGATATTTGTGTTAGCTTCATGCAGTTGTCCTGTTAATACCTCCAGCTTTGTACCCAAAGATTCCTTCAGTTTTGAAATCGAGCTTTCATTTTTCTTTCATTTTTCCACCGCTTCCTTTTGCTTCCCTCTTTTTGAAGACACTGTTTGTTACTTGTTTGATTAGTTTGTAAAAGAAAAAGTAACATTTACGTGAGAAATTATGTCAAGTTGGCAGAGCCAACAAAAAACGCGGCCATCATGCTCGCTGACCGCTGACCAATAAAAATTGACCAGGCAAAATTATTTTTCACGCTAAATTGAGTGGGTGGTTTTTACTGAGACAGCCTCTTAAATACATGACATGACATTAAACAATTACAACAGGTGCTGAGTGTCACGCTTCATTGACCCTTCCTTTCAAGTCATTTTCCATGTTGCATTTGCAACTAAACCTTGTACATCGTCCAGTTTTATTTATTGTGTATATTATGGGCAATAATTAAAATTGACAGCTTTTGTAGTGAACGTCAAGTCTACATAAGGCCGCAGGCGTAGGAAAAAAATAGTGATGTTTTGACAAATTTGCTGAAACCTTTCAAAATATGAAAACAATCTGAATCAGATCATGATGCAGCGAAATTGCATTCAGTTTTAGTCTCGCACCAATTCTTGATGTAACAACAACAATCTTTATTATGCTCTTGATGCGAAAATTGTTAATGCCGTGTTTACATTCAAACGTTTACTGCAGTTTAAATTGACCTAAGTAGATTAGTGCAGTGTTTATACTGGCTCAAATAACTAAAGTTAATCTGTCAACACTGCCAAAAATCGAATTGGCGGGAAATACAAGCTAATGGGCGCAATTTTTAAAACATGGTCGGTGTTAACAAGAAAGCGGTGGCTCTGATAGTCATTGCTTTTTTCTTTTTAAATCTTGAGAAGCAAGTAGAAGCGTCTCGATTACGGCAACTGCTGATACTACAACACCTCAAGAAAGTGAGGCAAAAACAGATTATTTTACTCCAACTTATGCAGCGAAATAGCAGGCGAGCAAGACGTGCTTGGTCCTGGCCAAGGAACCAATTCTGGTTCGAAAACCTACTAAACGGGTCTTTTGACGAAGATTGGTGGAAGGAGAACTTCCGAATGACAAGACGTACCTTTTAGTTTATTGTCCGTGTGGCTGGTCCAGAGATGGCGAAGAAAGACACCAGACTGCGGCAATCTATCCCAGTGCACAAGCGAGTAGCGGTAGCATTATGGCGGCTAGCAACGGGCGACACATACCGATTCACAGGACTACAATTCGGTATTGGACGGTGCACGGCCATGTTGATAAAACAGGATTTTTGCAATGCTATTGCTAAACGTGCTAAAGAATTCATCAAATTTCCAGAAACCGAACAAGAGGTGCTAGAAAGTATTAGATTATTTACAAACAAGTCTCCATTTCCCCAAGTAGTAGGGGCTATTGACGGTTGTCATATTGCTTTGAAGACAGTGCCTGTGGACGAGCGAATTGAATACTTCAACCGAAAGCAAGATTATTCTGTTGTGATTCAAGGTGTTGCTGATGCATCATTTCGATTTCTCGATATAAGTGCAGGCTATCCTGGTAGCATTCACGATGTGCGTGTTCTTCGTTTAAGCAATCTGCACAGGAAAATTGAACAAGGCAACTGCCTGAACGGGCCTACAAAACAAATTTCTGCTTCCGAAATTAGACCTTTGCTTGTTGGAGACTCAGCATATCCCTTATCTGTTTGGTTAATGAAGCCTTTTAAGCAAACACGTACGTTAAGTGAACGACAACTGCGGTTTAATCGTGCTCTCAGTCAAGCCCGTGTTGTTATCGAACAGGCCTACGGAATCTTGAAAGGGGGGTGGAGGTGCCTTTACAAGGCAATGGAAGGAAAGACTAGTAGAGTGGCCATCACGATCTTGGCATGCTGTGTTCTTCACAATATTTGTATCGATGTGGGAGACCCTAGCCCCATAGACATATTGGGAGATGACGATGATGACATGGATCAAAATTTAAATGGAGACGTATCGCCAATTGCGTCTGATGTTAGAGACAAAATTATAGACTATTTATCAGCTTAGGAAAATAGACAAAAATAGACCAGGCTCATATTGATTTTTCGCTTACTCATGTCATTTTCTTTATTTTCGCGAAAAACTAGCATTGTAGCTCAAGTTTGTACACATGTACATGTAAATATTCGTTAAAGTTTTGAAAGTTAACAAACTTCTCAACTGTTTTGTTTACAAATTATAGACACAGCGATTTTGAGCAATTATTTAAAAATATAAAATGATTGATTAAAGAGTATATGATCGAATACAATTATTCATAATTTTAAAATACCGGATGTTAACATCTCTGGTTTGATTTGCGATCACTAAAAGTTGATCAGCATGTATCCAAAAACGTTTTTTTATCCAAAATCTTTTCAACACGACATTTAGCTAATTAATAAATGATTTTGTATTAATGGATCCACTATTTCGTGACAACAGAACACAACAATAAAAATACTAATATATACTAAAAAGGGTGTTCATTCGTTTCCTTTACTAACGTCCTTGAGGATGTTTCCGAGCATAGCAAGGGCATCCATGGAAAACTTCTGCTGATCTTTCCTGTATTCTCTCTCGGCTTCAGCCATCCGCTCCATAAAAGCTTCGTCCCTTTCTTGTGAGCGTTCAAGAAATGATATCAAGGTTGGCTCGGCTACTCCTGATGATCCGGCTTTTCCCTTTTTTGTGCCTTGTTTCGATGGCCTTTCCGCTGCATCAGCTGCACGCTTTCTTGGTAGCTTTTTTTCCACATCAGCCTCGCGCCTCTTCGGTACCGGTGTGCTTGCCAAAGGCTTTTTATTTCTGCTTCTACTCTTAAAAAAGAGGGATTCTGCAAAGGCAAGTGACTGGTCGTTATCGGATTCATCTCCATCAGAAGGCACCGTGCACTCGGATGGAGGAGAAACATTCTGGGCAGTCCCTTGCCTTTGTTTTTGTGCAGCTCGGCAGATTTCCTCATCTAGGGCATCTTTCTCGAGGATATCGCCTTCGAGTTCCAACATTTCCGGTGACTCGCTATTGGGGACGTGAGAGCTTTCAAGCACGTGGCGTGGGTTGATGGATTCCCGTTTACCGAGAATTTCATCTATATCGTTGAAATGTTTCTGTTTGATATCCTCACTTTCTTCACTTTCATTGTCGGACGGCACATTGCCACCTCTTAGTGTATGAGCCAAGGGGGGTGTTGGTACCATATTGATGGACAAGCAGTTCTGTGGGTTTTTTAATGTACTTAGCCTATAGTTTATAAATATGTGTGATAGCATTGGTCAAATTGTCATCTGTGTTTTAGGGGGGATGGGTGGGTCAGTGCGTCGCTTTACTGTAGTATGTATTTATCCTTTAAAGGGTACCTTTATTTATCCGTAAACATGTTTAATTATCCATTGCAAACAATTCTTGTGCTCTGAATTTTAGCTTGAGGCCGCAGAAGTTACGTCAAAAATTGTCAGTGACTCGTCTCCGACCTTTGGGGGGAGGAGAAGAAGAAAATTGTGACACAAATTTCTTATGGAGTACCCAAACAAAAGAAAAAGGCCATTTAAAAATTAAGATAACCAATTCAAACATTATATCCCAGCACTTCGCTTTCGTTTTCTGGGCTGCCTGTGTAATTTTTGTGACTTGAGCTCACAGTACCAACCGCTGACATCATCCAGTAAGCTCTCTTCGAACCAGAGGTAAGTTTCAAAATTCGGAAATTTCTCATACTTTTTTACATTGTTGCCTTTCAAAAGTTATGTTTTACGCTACAAAGGTCATTTTGCCTTCAACTGATACCCTTGTTACTTTAATCTCAGTCTCAAAAGTCATAATTTTAGTCAATATTTTCACCTTTGTAATATCTGTAAGTTTTCAAGATGGTGGCCACAAACAGAATGATAGACTTCATCCTTTTTGATATACTGTCGACCTTCTTTTAACTAAAAAAGTCAAACTTAATGATTACATTTGGCTATAATCCTCTGATTTACCTCGTTTTAGTTGCGGTAAACGAACCTTAGCGAGTACATTACTGACGAAATTTTCAAGATGGCCGCCGAGGAGGGTCAAGACCATCAAACTACTGGAAATTTAGATCAGTGTGTGTGTGTGTGTGTGTGTTCTTAACTAAAAATAAGGTTTCTTAAGTGATCATTAAGGGCAACTGCACCGGTAAAAATGGTGAATTTTGCTGTCATATATAATGATAGGAAATTTGGAACTTTCTTGTCCCATATTTTACTACTCAACTACCAAATAACACAAAACTGGTAATTTGTAAAGCTATAGGCTGAAATCTGCTAAAATAGGCTTTGTCTTTTTTCATTCGACTTATACAGGAAATGTCAGCAACCGTTTGTAAAGGTAAATATTGCATTATTCACAAGGAAGGCTTGAAAAATGACGATGACCATTTGATAAGCCCCCAAAGTTATGATTCGTGGGCAACGCTGTTAGAGGCGGCAGAGATTCGAAAACATGAGGCCCTCCTTCAAATTGCGAGAAATGCTCAAGAAGGGGAAGTGCCTGAAATATTCTACCATAGGAAATGTCGCAGTGCATTTACCATCAAGAGAGATTTAGAGTCGCTCAAAAGAAAACGTGCCTTGGAAGAGGATGCTCATGAAGATGAAACTCTACTTGAAAGGCCCAGAAAAAGAAGTCCGACCTCCTTATCTCGTGTCTACTATAAAGAATGCATTTTCTGTGAGAGACCCAAGTATGTAAACCGTCACTAGAAAAGCTGGTAAAAGTTACGCAGCTAAGAGTGGACCAGACTCTGTGCCAGATAGCTACCGAGAGATGTGAAGCGGATCCTGGCAATTGCAAGTAGAGATATCGTTGCAGCAGAAGCACACTATCATAGAACGTGCTACCGTGACTACACAAGGCCCACTCCTCAGCAGCACCCAGAGGAAAGCGAACCCAAGAATGATGCTGAATATGATGCCGTTTCAGATTTATTTAGTTTTATTAGAAATGATGTTTTAGATGCGCAGGTTGTGGTAACCATGATTGAGTTAACAAAGAAGCTGGAATCTTTTCTTCAATCGAGAGGTACAGAGAAGCTTCAGGAATCAACGAAGAAACACCTGAGAAAGAAACTAGAGTCAGAGTTTGGTTCCACTTTGGAAATTTTTCCAGATGAGAAGGGAAAGCTACTGGTTATTCCTGTAAACCTGGATATCAAGGAAACAGTGAAGAAGATGGTTAACCTGGAAAAGAAAGTAATGAGTTTTAAATCTCAAGCAACAGAAATGCAAAGGATCGTTGATCAGAGCGCTGAACACTTGCGAAATGTGATTTTAGATATGAAGTGGACTATGCCCTGGCCTATTCTCCCGTCCGATGTATCCGTTGATCAGGTTCCTGTACCAGAATGTCTTCGTCGCTTCTTGAAAGGACTACTCGCATCCAATCGTGACGTGAAGAATCCCTCACCAAGAGTGAAAATGTTACTTGAGTCCTTCAGTCAAGATATTATTTATGCAGTGACCGGAGGCAGGACAAAACCACCTAAGCAGATTCTCCTATCCTATGGAGTCAAAACTTTGACTGGCAATGTAGAATTAATCCGTATGCTCAGTAGATTTGGCCATGGCGTGTTGTATTCCCAGCTAGAAGAGAATGATACAGCCTTATGTCTCCAAAAACTCGCTGCTAACCTCAATCAGACTACAATACTGCCATGAACCATTCAACCAAACTTTTTTACCAATTTAGCTTGGGACAACATCGACCGCCTAGAGGAAACCTTGACTGGAGGTGGTACAACCCACAGAGTTAATGGAATAGCGGTGCAACCAAGAGTCTTTGGGCCACATCTACCAGCTCCACAGCTGCCTCCAATTTTGAAGCAGAAGCAGAGGAGTATCATCCACGAAGAGCAACCTTTGCCCACGTACATCGCTGGTGAAAGAGTTGGTCCAGGTCGTATTAAAGCGAGAAGCAATCTGATGAACATCCAGGAAGCAGAAGCTCGCAATGCTCAAGCATGGATTCTGACCTGGGCTGTGGCACGCCAGACCCATGTAGAGGACCAGAGGGTACCAAGCTGGACCGGTTTTCATGTTCAAACGCGAAGCAAGGAGGATGTGCAGGAGGACGTGGTGGCTTATTTACCAACAATTAATACCCCAGCGACAGAGCTAAGCACCGTTAATGAAATCCTGCGCCAGTCCGAAGACATCAGGAAAAGGCTTTATCTAGACCAGATCGTCGTTGTATTGGATCAAGCATTATATGCCAAAGCATGTGAGGTTGCTTGGAAAAACAGAGAGCTTTATGAGAAAATCATTCTTCGCTTAGGAACATTTCATACAATCTGCAACCTACTGTCCATAATAGGGAAGCGCTTTCAAGATGCAGGCTTGAGTAATGTCTGTATCGAATCTGGCATACTAGCTGGAGGATCCGTGTGTGGGGTTATGGAAGGGAAGGTGTATAATTGTGCTGTTCGCATCCACAAGTACATCTACGAAGCTCTTATGCGACTCGTATGGAAGCAGTTTGTGCCATGGCTAACAGTTAACCATGCAGACAAAGCGGGTAAACTACGTGTCCTCCAAGTCAAGATCAGCGACATGGTCAATGAAGTAGAACTCCGACAGTGTGAAAGTATTTTGAACAGTGATCCTTTCAAAGAAATTCACCTGATTTGGATGCAATACTTGCAATACCTGCACTCTGAGAACGGCCCACTGTCCTGCTTTTGGATGTCGTACATTGACATTGTCGGTGATGTACTACTTGGATTGATTCGAGCATCTCGTGAAGGTAACTGCCAGCTACATCTCTACGCCATTCGTAACATGATCCCGAGGTGCCTCACGTACGACAAAATAAACTATGCTCCGAACACCCGAACGTGTATTCCAACTTCTTGAATGGAAAATTTTCCGTTCAACTTGCTGGAGAAAGCCCTTTTGGGCGCATCCCTGTAGACCAGACCACGGAAGTCACTGTCAACAAGGACACGAAGTCAAGTTGGGGCATTACCAAGTATAGTCTAAAGACAGGAGCGGTAACTAGATTCTGCATCACAGCTGAGTACCGATGCTCCTTTCTTGCTCATTTGAGAGACATGGTTCAAGTCAAGCGCCCTTCCTATCATCATGACGAAATGCTGTCTACCAGGAAACGCAAAGACGAGCAAGCAGTAACAACAATAGAGAGTCTGATTGAAGGGTGGAACAATCCCTTCACAGAGAGGAAAGAGCTTGTGAGTTTATCCACTGCCAAACAAGCGCCTGAAGATGTAACTAGAGACCTTTTGAACGCTCGAAAAGTCGGCGAAGAGGCCTATCAAGTGTTCAAAGAGCAACGTCTGGAATCGTCTCCACCACAGAAGAAATTTCATGACACAATGAAGTTGAACAAACTGAAAACCTTTCTTCCCTTAGTCAGAAGAAAAAGGTTTCCACCGACGGCAGGACGATGGTCTTGAAAGCTGATAGGTCTCTGTTTGGGCGGATCATAGTCATTGGTCAGAGCCGGAAGATTGATGTGAGAGAACTGCTACAGTACAGCTTGGGGCCATTGCCGTGGTCTTTAGCAACTACAGAAGGGTTTCCTCGAAAAACAAACTTAGCAGCGCTAGCGACTCCCCTCCAAAAGGATGTACCGTTAGCTGATGGCCTTCCGCAGAACTCAGCTGCTATTATCGACGGTATGAGTCTAGTTCAGAAGTTGAGCGTTGGTGGAGGACAGACAACCTTCGCAATGGTTGCTTCTTCTCTTCTAACAAAAGTTCTTCACGAAGGCTCCCAGACCAACAGAATCGACGTGGTTTTTGATATATACAGAGATATGTCAATTAAGAATGCAGAGAGAACCATGCGTGGAGAAGTTGCGGGAGTTCAACTGTCGTATATAAGTTCTACTCAGCTGGTCAAGCAGTGGAGAAATTTCCTGTCGGAGGTCAAGAACAAGACAAGTCTAATCAAGTTCTTTTCCAGAGAATGGAGAGAAGAAGACTGCATGAGAAGGCTGAAAGGAAAAACATTGTTTGTTACTGCTGAGAGTGAATGCTGGAAGATAACTAAAAAGGGAAGCGAGAATGTGGCAGAGCTGACAAGTAACCAGGAGGAAGCTGACACTCGTCTACTGCTTCACGCTAAACATGCTGCCCAGGAGGGGTATGAAGCAGTAGCAGTGATCTCGGAAGATGCAGACGTGTTTGTCTTGCTTTTGAACTTCTCAAGCATTATCAACACTAGACTCTATATGAAGTGTGGTTCCAGAATGAGGACGCGACTTGTCGACATCAAAGGAGCAGTTCAGAGAACCGGGCGAGAGATATGCGAGGCACTGATTGGGTTGCATTCTTTTACAGGGTGTGATTCAGTAAGTGCCTTTGCTGGTAAAGGAAATTTAGGGGCTCTTAAAATCCTTAAAACCAATGAAGGCGTAAGAAGAGCGTTCCAAGAGCTTGGCCAGTCCTGGACAGTATCAGAGGACCTTTACACTTTGCTTGAGAAGCTCACCTGCTCCATGTACATACCAGTCGGCAACACAACCAGCCACGTGAATGATGCACGATACAAACTGTTCTGTGCAAAGAATGGCGAACTGGAGTCACACCAGCTACCTCCTTGCCAGGACTCCCTTCGGAAACACATTCTTCGTGCAAACTACCAAGCAGCTTAGTTGACAACGCCTGTTTCTATTAAATATTTGTCACAGGTAATGTGATGAGGATAACAACTAATTTAGTATTACATCACTCCTGCAGCTTTATGGAGACGGAGCCTGGAGGCTAACCCAGACATTCCCAGTCCAGATGGTATGGGGTGGACAACACAGACCTCCACTGACGCTGCATCCACTGAACTAGTGATCAACTGGATGGACGGGCAGCCAGCTCCTTCTGCTGTCCTGGAACTGCTGGTGTGTAAATGTAAGAAGACCTGTAAACTCCCAAGTTGTGTTTGCATGAACAGTGGTTTGAAGTGCACGGACCTCTGCTCGCTAAATGACAGCACCAACCAGCCAGCTCAAGACGATTCATCAAACATTATTGATAATGAAGCAGACGAATATGATGATGATGACTTTTAATGAACTTTGTAGATTGCAAATATTCTGGGAAGTTGTTAGAGAAACAGCAACTTCCATTTTCAGTAGAAATGCATGCCGCAGTAGCTAAAACTTAAAAGGAAAGTTTCTTCAAATAAAGAAAAATGCGCTTTTTTGCATGAAGATGAGTTTCCTTCCCAGAAAAATTTACTTCAATTAGTAAAAATTGAAGTTTTTTAACAATATCATAAGCAGCAATGCCAAAAATAGCTTGAGCCACGAGTCTGGGAGACTGGGAACGAGTGTTTAAAAATGAATATTACGGCAAAATATTGTTTAGACAGGGATTTGCATCAGCTTGCACAATTGAACGTTAAATGTAAAGTCGAACCATTGAGATAACTTTTAAAATACTTCGGAAGGTACATATTTCATCTTTTTGCCAATCTGAAAACAGTACTTCGGTATATTTGGCATTTTATGGCAATTCGACTTATCACGTGATCACTATGACGTGTATTTGGTGGTTAAGAGTGATTGTTAAGTCAATAACGTGTGACTTGCATATAAATTGGGCATTGTATGGATCATAACATACTTGTAAATGCTTTTCTTTATGTTCAGTAGGCTAAGTGAGTAAAAGTCCTCTTAGGGGGGTAGGGGTAAGAAAAACGGCATGTAACGCTTAAAGATGACACTTTGTGCAGTGCTATCACACAAAAATAAAAACTTGGGTTAATAACCTAGGTTGTTAAAGACGGAAGTCTTTGTCTGTTTGAATGATACCAATCGACCATTTTTGAGGTCCTGGCTCATACAGTAGGGAACTTAAGATGGAGACGTTTTCGGGGCGACGGCGACCGGACTGGCAGAGAAAGCCTGGAACTAAGGCAGCCGTCGCTCCCCGTCAAAAATAGAACATTAAGATCGCAGTGATCTGAGAAGGACGGCGCCTTTAATTAGAAGAATACCGAAGAGGAAAATATGGCTTCACATAAAGAATTAAGAGAATAAATATTTGCTATGCAGACAACATGTATCGGATGAAGAGTTTCTCGTTTTGTGGAAAAATTATGAGTCCAAAAATCCCGATTTTCCTCGGGACAGTTACGATCCGTTCACGCTAAAAAACATGCGGGATGCAGCTGAGTTCAAGGCAGAATTTCGTGTTGAAAAAAAAGGATCTCCACAGGCTTGCCGAAGCCTTGCAAATTACAGGAACATTAAAATGCTACCAAGGAACCGTATTCTTAGTTTGGCATTGAAATAATTCCCGGGAAATACTTGCATGCAAGAACAACAACAACGGCAACAACTTTATTTCAGTATTCCCACGCCGAGTTAGTACATGGTATTACCTACTATTCTATATAATTTTCAATGCGTTTCATTTATACGATGTTCTAACGAAAAGAGCGAACTAAAAACACACAATTGAAATATCGGAGTTCATATTTTTTGTCTGGATACTTTTATTTGGCTCGTGGGAAAATTTTGTCCCATGTCAAGCTCACTTACGGTTGGCTGTTTGCCAAGTAGGATCTTGACCCTGTGAAATGAAAACATAGAAACATTCAAAGATGTAAGTTTAGCGAACATAGCTTGGAAATCGAGCTTGAAATGTGCCTCAAAGAAAACAAGGACAATTTACGAACGATAATCTGCAAAATGTTGGTTGCTAAATGCAACAAACCTGATTGAAATGACAGTTAAATACTCACGTTTTCGCCACAACGCCAAACAGACCAGTTTCACGTCGCCGACGGGACCACGACGGCAAGGTGGTGAGCACGAGCATGCGCAATATCCAACAAATGATGATGTCACGTCCGGTTGAAGTTGCCGTCGCCCCGAAAACGTCTCTATCTTAAGTTCCCTAGTATCTGCCGTATCCTGTCGACCGAAGCTTGTCTTTGGTGTTTTTATACTTCTTTGTCAAATTTGCCAATTTGTTCTTGCACTGTTGTGGCGTTTTGTCGCTGTCTACGTTTTGTTCCTTGCACCGCGACTGCAGCTGGCGAGCAATCGACAGCCATTCAGGGGAGCTGAAGGCTTTGTATCGCAGCTTATCTTCATTTTCTCGAAACAGCTCCACCAAGATCTTTTCTTCAGTGTCTGTCCAACGATTTTTCTTCTTTGGACCAGTGCTGCTACTGCTGCTGTGGCTGTTCTCTTGCAATTGCAAGCCAGGCAGATCAGAATGGGGTCGTACTGAAGATGAGTGAATTTCTTGCGCTCCTTGCAATTGAGAGCCATAGAACGGCGGCACAGCATATTGAGGTTGCGGGTAGTAAGGGAATATGTTGCAGACATTCGCGAATATTGTTGCTGTGGATCTTGCCTGGAAAAAAAACGGAAAACAAATAAATAATCTGTTTTATCCGAATAAAAAAAAAGTGTGAGTGGAATGAAGTGGAGACGTAATACATCGCTTACGTTTCGGTTTGACTGCCGTAATAATTAAAAAATATGTCCTTATTTTGTTCCATTTTGCTAGAGCACGAAACGTGGCGCAAAGAAACCCTGAACTCCGTGAATAAAACATGAAACGTGACAAGGAAACTTGAACTCGCGATAAATCAAAAAAACTTCACTGCAACCGGATGTATCTGTCAATTTGACCTCGGTTACCGAGCTAAACCAAGCCAAATCACTGCATCATTATCGCTTTTACCATGGTTAAATTTCCTTTGTCTTTTGCCGCATTTACTGAGGTATAAATTGATGTTTACATTGACCAAAAATTTACCTAGGTAAGTAAACTCTTTTACCGTGGTAAAAATCCTAAGTGTAAACACGGCATAAGACATTAAAAGGAAATAATTGTGAAAAAAAGGAGAGCACAGCCACTCAAAAATAGCAGGAGCTAATCGCGCTGAGTGGCTGAGCCATGCAGAAAAGTAACTACAGTCTCAGACAAAAATAGTTGGGACACTTTAACCAAACGCTGTTTTTCCCTTCTCATGCTCCCCTCGTCCCTCTCAAAGTTGTTTATCGCGGTTTGGTCACCAAATCTTGTACACCAACATTGAGGGGACAAGGAGACCCCAAAGTGTCCCAACCATTTTGACTGAGACTGTGTTTTTGAGGAATTTTAAGTATGTGACTCTTCGTAGGCTCTAGTGGCGGGAAATCGCTAGGCAGGTATATACACGTTTCGGAGCCATTTTTTCGGGAAAAACATTAAAGATTTCAAGCACAGAAAGAGAGAAGACAATTAATAGGGGAAAGAAGTCTTTGTTTCTTTAATTACAACATTCCAGGGTATTAAAAAAGCTTTCTACGTATTGGGTTTAAAGAGTGAACAACGGATGAGTCAAAACTGCGCGCATTATTTCGCAGGCTGTGTATCTTGCCGCTAATATCTTGTACCGGTGGAGTCACAATTGGACGGGTCACCATAATGGGTCAACATACTATCCAGGGCGTTTTCTGAGAGCTCTCTGGTATATATAATGGATTAAGAAAGAAAAGGATAAGGTACTTTCATATTTAATTGAAATAGCCAAGGTTTATATCGCCTTGATACATGTAAGACAAGTTATTAAAACTTTGATCATGGTGACACGATTGTTCGCTGAAAGAAACTTATAAATATCTTAATTGAATTAATGTACGGTGACCCATGTACACGTCGAGTAGAACGCTTTTTTGAGGTTTCAAGGATAGGTAGTGTCCTCGTTTTATATGATTCATGTTTTGTACCTCAAGTCCCACATTTATGGCACAGTAGTTTGTTTTAGAGTCATTCAGGAAGGTGTATATTTGGGGTGAAGAATGAGAACCGATGTCACCATTTGGCGCAAGGTCAAATTAACATATGTTGTAAACAACTTATAAAAAGTTGTCGATTTCACAGCAGTAGCCTGGAATATCATTAAGAAACTTTTTGGCGTCGGACCAAACAGTTACACTATTGTTGGACACCCTTTGTACGTGCTTGTAGTCAATAGTATCTTTAGAAATTTAGAAAGCGGGATGTTGCTCTTGCTGATACGTCTTGGGAATAATCCTTGCTTGTTGCATTTTCCTCCAAACTGAGGAAAAGTTTCCCCCTTTGTCTTGAAATCGCTTAATCGCTCTTTCAGCTGTCTTTCGCCTCTTACCCTTAAGTTAAAAATGCGTCCCGGTGAGCCTTGTTCCTTGTTCCTACACTCTTTTTTGGCAAAGAGGCCTTCTCTATTATTCTCCGCACATTTTTTTTAGAAATGTGGCACATTCAAGCGCCTCTGTATATGAAAACCCTGAATCTTACGTAGATAGTATGCACGTGCTATATTGTCACGCTATCAATCGGCCACTAGAAAGCTATTTGTGTACGGTTTAGTGCACACTCAGTTCCTTTTGTTTTACAATACTCTACTCTGCCCAAGAAATTTCTGCGAACTGGTCATTCTTTGTGTTATGTTGTTATGCCCAAATAACTTAGTTCACTGCTATAGAAACGTTCGCGAAACACAACGAATACCCAACAAACCAAAAGCCCGTCGCTTGTGACCGACCTACAGATTAACCTCTGTATCTGTCAACACGCCTTCAAATTCCTCCCTGACAGAGTCTCAGACAAAAATAGTTGGGACACTTTAACCAAACGCTGTTTTGTTTCCTTCTCGTGCTCCCCTCGTCCCTCTCAAAGTTGTTTATCGCGGTTTGGTCACCAAATCTTGTACACCAACATTGAGGGGACAAGGAGACCCCAAAGTGTCCCAACCATTTTGACTGAGACTGTAGATATCAAAGTTGTTATAAATAAACAAATGCACACAAAGAAGAAATATATAAGCTGTAATAAATAAGCAAATACACAAACAAATAAACAAAGATGCAAAATAAAACAACCGCTCTGCACACAATTAGCCAATTATAAAGTACGCCAATCAATATTTGGAGATGACAGATTCTTTTAACAGCTTTTTAAAGCGAAAACGACTCGCTGATTTTAGATCTTCTTTAATAGCATTCCTCGTGGCCATTAAAGTTCAGCGAGGTTTCGATAGGTTCAATTTTCGATAACAAGATCTTGTCTAACTCCTCACAAGTAATGTACAGCAGCCATAATATTACGAAAACAACAAAAAAATGAAAAAAACACGACAAAAAGAGGCAAAAATGAACAGATTTCGACGCTAAAGCAAAAATGTGGCCATCTTGCTCGCTGACGGCTGACGAATGACCAATGTAAAAAGATCAAGAGGCGTTTATTTTCCTTTCATTAAATTATGTCTATTCTTTCTTTCAAAAAAATGGGGCTCACACGTTAAATACAGGCATCTTCATTACATACCTGCACGTGCCCATAACGGCTTTGGTTCAGAGTCTAAACTAGTGTCTTGAATGCTGCAAGAATGTAGATGCGCTTGTATGGCTTTTTTACACTTGGCGAGGATGATGCTCTTCACATTTGTTGGATTGTCCACACTAGAACCACATGTTCCTCCTGCAATCTGCCCACACTCATACGCAGCCATTCGCAAGTACACAATGAATAAACTGCACTGTACAAATAAACAGAAGTAAACCAGTGCTGTCTCTTCGGAATGTGGACTCTTCTCTATTTACGGAGAACAATTCAATAATTCAGGAAAAGAAGATTTTTTACCAGTCCAAAACAACACAATATGAACTACCAAAGATGTACCAAATTCCGTGACCATATCCAATCCTCAGCTTCCTGTGGCATTCAATACATGGTCATGTTGCATTTTCAGGTGATATGCACACGGCAATTTTTGTCAGTAACCTCCCATTCAGGAAAGCATCGCCGAGGTAAGACATATTAGTCAAGAACCTCGCACATTGATTTACCTCGCATTTATTACCGCATTTCCTATTGTATTAGTAGACTGGTACTTCAAAGTCGGTGGTAGACAAAACAGACAGTTTGAAATTTCAAATTCCATTCTTCCAAATTAACTATTTAGCAAGTACATAGCTCAAAATTTAAAAGGTAAGTATTCCTAAGTGAAAATATACTCACAGA